AGCCCCACCCCAGGCCACCCAACTCAGAAGCTTCGATGGATGGTGTGGGTAGGGGAGGGGGGGGTAGGTGGGAATAACCTATAAATCTAACTTTCGAAAGCTCGCTGCCCAAAAGTTTCGAAGCAGCCGGCCCTTCGGGGCGGAAACTCTGCCCGATTTTCGTCGTCCCGGTTCGTTGCCCAAAAATTGAAGACACAGGTTCATACCCAACAACTCGCGTAATTAGCTATCTGCTGCATCTTGAGGCGGCACTCGGCCTACGACAAGACAAAAGTTGAAATCTCTCATTCAATGCTAAAGTATTTCTTCAGCCCGCTTTGCAGCCACGCATAGAACCATCAGAAGCATTGCCCGGCTCCCCAAAACTGAAAGACTTTGCGTCATCGTTTTAGCGACTCTTCATAGCTGAAAGACTCCGACAAGCTCGCAGCGTTCTGCACGCATTCCCTGGACGGGTTCTATATATACTTCGATGTACATAATGTCAGATCCTTTAAATTTCGCGTAAGACAGACAAAAGCACTTTCAAAGAGAGGGGGGGGGGGGAGGGCGGCCCCAAAATTGGCACATTGCATGTCTCCGAAGACCAACAAGACATTTCACGCTCAAACAAGTTGTAACGACATCCCCAGCATCGAGCGACAAGGCACGGTCTTGTGTGGATGCAAAAAGGATATCCACACTCTGCAGAAGTTTGATGGCACGAAAATCCACTGCACGACCAAGTTCACCGGAACACGGTACGGCTTACGTGTGATGTCTATTTAGCGAAGGCGTCAAGAAACAAAGCCCACGTGAGCTAGAAGTATCACCAGGTTCAACGTCTAACATTCAGCAAACGATTCTGAGCAACGAAACTTCACGCTGAAGTAAGGTACTGCAATTTGACACCGTTGGAGCGGATGTTGTCAAGGTGATTGCAAACAGAGTCGCCTTCGAAGATGACGCCAAATCCAAAACGCACATCGGTGACGTCTATGTGCGTTTTGCTTTTGTCGGCACAGAAACAAGACATGGTTTGGTTCAGAAGGCAAACAAACCTGGCCAAATCCAAAACGCACATCGGCGAAGTCTATGTGCGCTTTGCTCTGTCTGCAAAGAATCACGAACTGCTTTGATTTAGAAGTTTAAAAACTTGACCAAATCCAAAACGCACATCGGCGACGTCTATGTGCGTTTTTTTGTCTACAAAGAAACAAGACATGGTTTGATTTAGAAGTCTAAAAACCTGGCCAAATGCAAAACGCACATCGGCGAAGTCTATGTGCGTTTTGCTCTTGTCTTCAAAGAAACAATAAATTGTTTGGTTTAGTAATTTAGCAGCTTGGCCAAATCCAATTGCTCGCTCAGTCACAAGCTTGCAGAGGAAACGTAATCGTGTCTTCAAACCTCTTCGCTGTTAACTTGCTCGCACAGCCACAAGCTTGCAGGGGAAACGTAATCGTGTCTCCAAACCTCTTCTCTGTTAAGTTGCTCGCAGAGTCACGAGCTTGCAGGGGGAACGTAATCGTGTCACCAAACGTCTTCGCCTCTGTTAAGTTGCTCGCTCAGCCACAAGCTTGCAGGGGAAACGTAATCGTGTCTTCAAACGTCTTCGCTGTTAACTTGCTCGCACAGCCACAAGCTTGCAGGGGAAACGTAATCGTGTCTCCAAACGTCTTCGCTGTTAAGTTGCTCGCACAGCCACAAGTTTGCAGGGGAAACGTAATCGTGTCTCCAAACCTCTTCTCTGTTAAGTTGCTCGCACAGCCACAAGCTTGCAGGGGAAACGTAATCGTGTCGCGAAGCAAGTTCACCGGAACGCGCTACGGCTTACGTGTGATGTCTATTTAGCGAAGGCGTCGAGAAACGAAGCCCACGTGAGCTAGAAGTATCACCGGGTTCAACGTGTAACATTCAGCAAACGATTCTGAACAACGAAACTTCACGCTGAAGTAAGGTACTGCAATTTGACACCGTTGGAGCGGATGTTGTCAAGGTGATCGCAAACAGAATCGCCTTCGAAGATGACGCCCGTCAAGCGAAAGCGTTGAGAGTCTCTGCCGTTTCTGCTATCGGGGATAAACTGCGGAAGATTGTCTAGAAAGACCCACTCCGTGCCGAGATCTTGTTTGGAACTTGTACAGGGGGACACACTGTGCTGTTGAAACTGTAGCTCAGTCCAACAAACATAACAACTAGAACAAGAACCAGGGGTAAGTTTAGAAGTTCGCTAGACCAGAGCTATACATGAATATAGCATAGCATATTGTAGCAATACAAGCGTAGAATGAAGCTTGTCTGAGAATTGGAATGGGTAAGTTTCTCGGGTATAACGTGAATTTGAAAGGGGTGAGACAACGTATGACACCAGAAATTAAAGTGCGACGAGAAATCAGCGGTCCTATCGCGAATCTGTTGCGAGCGGCGAATCACGTGGACAAGTAGCGACAATGGGATCGGGTCGAGTGAGCAGTCCCATGGTGCAGCAGCTGCCTCGGACGCACTAAGATTTCCTGCTGCTGTGGTGGTCGGTCGTTCAGCCACGGTTCGCGTAGGTCGTGTCTCAGCAGGGAAGCAGTCATTCGTGCTGTTGTGTGTTCCACTAGACCGAGACATGTTGCAGCATGTCAATCGACGTGAGGATGTTGTCTGTCATTCGAGTTGACGCCCGACGATAGCGAGCTTGATGTGAATCGCAGCTAGGACACGAGGTCATGGGTAGAGGACGAGATCGCTCCCCGGCCTGCTAGGTCCGGAGTGATGCAGTGGTTAATCTTCGCCGCAGCTTACCCTTGAGACATGGTCATCCAACCATGGCGGTTAGCCTTACTTCAGCATGAGTTGTCGCGGTTCGGAGTTGATCGGTTGTCATGGAACATGTCCTCCGAAACAAAGCACTGCAGCAGACTTGAATGGCGCGGTGTGTCATGACATGTCAACTACACAGTACAGCAGACGCCTCTTGCAGTGTAGCACTCTTGCCACGCACAGCGGTTGCGTGCCAGGACCACAGCATTCTGCGCAAACACAACTGCCGACAGGGTAAGTGGCAGGCATGATCTCTGCACGTGTCCCCGGTGATGCAGGACTCGGGCACCAAGTCCTCGAAGTTGTGCTGGACGACTTGGCGAGGCCCTCGGAGAAGTAGCGATATCAGGAATTGGGTGTGCAACGCGAAGTCAGCATCTGTGTCGCGAATCTGTCGCCACCTAAGATTGACCTGGAGAGGTATGGAAATAGGATCAAGTTGAGCGAGCAGTCCCATGCTGCAGTAGCTGCCGCAGACGCACTGAAATTTCCTGCTGCCGTAAGCATTTACAGCGCCACATAAGTACCCTCCTGTAGTTTTCTTTCGCTCGCAGCTGTCAGCATGGGTCGTGGTGCCCCTCGTGGTGGACGTCGTGGCTCGGGCAAAGGCCAAGTGCGCAAGACGTTCGCCGGAAGAGCAGTTAAACAGACGCCCAGCTTCTTTCAGAAGCAGGCCAAGCCGACTGCTCGCAAGATCCCGGCCGTGCACATGGACGAGACATGGCACCAGAAGGTGCGCCGTGTCTATCCCGGCGAGAGTGCGGCCGCCTTCGTTCGAAAGGGAGGTTTGTCCAACGACATGGAAGTTCTCTCTCCCGCGCAGTTCGGTCCGCAGCTGACTCACTTGAATTGTGAGGGGGCCAATCGCCTCGGAAATTTCATGTCGATGCTCGCGGCGGCCATCGAGACAGGGCACGGCCTCCTGCAGATGCAGCACAACGAGCCGGAGAAGAGCGGCATGGAGCAGCTCCGTGCTGTTTTTGACGAAGACGACGGAACTTTGCTGCAGGCGGCACAGCTCCTCAACTTGTCCAACAAGCAGGAGGCGTCGCCGCAGGAGCTGCAGAACGCGATCCTCCAGGTGTTCACCTACATGGCCAACGACGCCTGCGTGAAGCCATGGCAGCGGTTGGCGAAGTTCTCCTCGCATCTATACAACTTCGCGATGCTCGCTTTACAAGGCCACGCGCTCATGACTAATCGTCCACATTGGAGCGCAGAGCTTGCCATGCAGCTGGAAGCCATGCCTGCCTCGATGAGAAAGTTCATCCAGGATCCTGCCAATGATGAGGCTCTGTTACAGGCAGCCCTCGACTGCTACCAGCAACAGATACAAGGAGCCGGTGGCGTTGGCCCCATGCCCGACGTCTTCGGCGACGCCGATGATTGCGCGGATGCCCCGGAAGAAGAGGACCAGGAGATGCAAGATGACGTCTTCAACGACAGCAAGCCAGCTCGAGCTGCTGAAAGTCTCTTTGGAGGCAAAAACAAATCGCCCGCTGCGGGCGCTGCGGTGCGTGACAGACCCTCTGTCTCGGCGGCCCCATTCGCAGCATCGTTGGTCGCGGCGCCGAAGATAACGGCCAAGACGAAAGCACCGCCCTCGGCGGAGCCAACCCCAACCACGAGTGTCACCGAAGCAGAGGCGGCGATGGAAAAACGACGCAAGGAGTTCGACCTCTGGCCTCTCAAAGCTCTGGCGACCTTCGAGCACAAGCCGGCGGATGCGTTTCTGGAGCGCCTGAACCTGATCCCTGCAAAATTGCGCGCAAGCGCGGGGCTGCCATGCGGCAACGTGCAAGAAGCGGACATCGGCGCCGAGCTCGAGCAGCACAGTGAAACGATGAACTCCTTGCACGAGGAGGCGAAAAAGCATTGGCTTTCGAAGGCGGAGCTCTTCACCAACGAGCGTCATAAGTTCCATCTGGATGAAGACATGGCACACACAGGAATTTTGATCAAGCTCGTAGAGAATGACAAGGTCCCGCCCGAGGTGAACGCCGAGCGGTTGCAAGAGCTCTGCGCTTTGGAGAAATGGGATGATGCAGAAGAAGAAGAAGTCGCAGACATGCAGAAAGCTTTTCTGACGTGTGTGCTCCCCGTCGCCGATGCCATCGCCCTCTTCGACACGGTGCACGACATAGTTCTCCAGGCGGCGGGGAAGTACGAGCCAACGGCCAACCAAATGAAAGATGCTCTGCAGCGGATTCCGCAGAGTCTTCGCGCGGGCCTCGCGCTCTCCAGGCCGGAGAAGTATCGTGCCATCAAGAACAAGGATTGGCGCGAGGACCTGAACATCATCTTGGCCGTGGCCTTCGCGAGCCTGTCTGCCCATTGGGAAGCCTGACGCTGATTAGGACAGAGCCCGGGTAGGTCTGACCATCTTGAGTTTTTCTCGGGAACAGAGTCGACACATTGGCGGTCAATAACGCTTAATTCCTTATCGATAGGAATCGTGACACATGAGCAACATGGCAGGACTTGCACAGGGCCCCAAGGATAGAGTCGACGTCCGAGGAATGTCAAGTAAAGTGACGTCAACGAGTCGAGCAAGGTTTGCTTAGCATATCGGGTGCAGGTTGAAAGCGAGGGCAGACTAGAGTGTGTTTTCAAATCAAAAAGGCCTACTCGTTGACCCGGTTGTCCAAGTCGTGTGACAGTAGCGAAGACAGCTTTCCAGGTCGTGTGGCAGTAGCGAAGACAGCGGCTCGGCACAGGTAAAACCGAGCGCAAGCCCGTGTTTTACAGCGATCCGCGACGCTTTGCGGAAGCCGGTGTGAGCGACCGGACAAAAAAGCGGCTGCGAACAGTCCCGTTTGCATCATCGTCCTGAGCAGCCGGTTCTAGCAGATGTACTAAGATCTTCTGCAGCCGCAAAAGACCGAAAGTGTCGTAGAAGTAACTATCCGTAGCTTACTCGTCGCTAGAGCTGTCAGCATGGGCCGTGGTAGATCTCAGCGCACTCCGGCGTTGAGAACATCCACTTCGTACCGAGGCCAAGCAAGCAGCTCCAGCGGAGGAAGCATCAACAAGATGGGCTCGGACTCTGATTCGGACGAACTGTGGATAGTCAGCGAAGACTCGGCCTTGAGAACATCCGCTTCGTACGGAGGCCAAGCAAGCAGCTCCAGCAGAGGAAGCAACATCGAGGCAGCGGGCTCAGAGTTGGATTCGTACAAACTGTCGAAAGACCATGAAGGCGCGGGCGAGACGGAAGAAGTCGCGCCAGCAACTGCATCGCGCCCATCGGCATTGAGACCATCAGCTCTGCGGACATCCTCACATTCAAAGAGGCGGGCCTTGGCACCGGAGGCAGTCCATGCCACGTTCGCCGAGCCGGCCGAGGGCGATCGCATAACAACTCCACACGTCGCCAGTGCGACCAAGGCGGAGACAGCAGCGGACGAACGCCGCAAGGAGCTGGATCTCTGGTCCCTGCAGGCTCTGGCAGAGTTCGAGCGGAAGCTCGAGCATCCGTTGGTGGAGCGCCTGAGCCTGATTCCCGCAAGACTGCGCGCGAGCGCAGGGCTGCCAGACGACGACGTGCAAGAAGCGGACATCACAGAAGAACTCGAGCAGCACAGTGAGACGGTGAGGTCCCTGCACGAGGAGGCCAAAAGACACTGGCTTTCGAAGGCGGACAACTTCACCAACAAGCGTCACAAGTTCCATCTGGACGCAGAAATGGCGCGTACAGGGATTGTGACCAAGCTGGTGCGGAACGACAAGGTCCCGCTCGAGGTGAACGCCGAGCGTTTGCAAGAGCTCTACGCTTTGGAGAAATGGGAAGATGCAGAGGAAGATGAAGCTGCGGATGTTCAGAAGCAGATTTTAACCAGTGTGATCACCGTCGCCGATGCCATTGCCCTTTTCGGTGCGATGCACGAGATCGTTCTCTTCGCAGCGGGAAGATTCGAGCCAAAGGCCAAGCAGATGAAGGATGCTCTAGAGCGGATTCCGCAGAATCTTCGTGAGGGGCTTGCGCTCTCAAAGCCGAAGAAGTATCGTTCCATCAAGAACAAGGACTGGCGCAAGGACTTGAGCACCATCCTGGCCGTGGCCTTCGCGAGCCTGTCCGCTCATTGGGAAGGTTAGTCCCCGGGCCAAGTTCGAGCCCGGATCAACATTGCGAATTCTTGCAAGTTCTGCTCGTTTTTTCAACTTGTGCTCAGCCAGTTTGATGGGTTACCGGGACAGAGTCGACACTTTGGCGGCCAACATCCCCTGATGTTTTAACGATAAAATTCCTAACATGTGCGTCACAATATGGGGTTCGAACAAAGCCCCAAAGACAGAGTCGACGCCCGTGGAATGTGAAGAGGGCGGGGTCAACGAGTGCACGTTTTGTTTAACATTTCAGCGTGAAGAAAGCCGTAGTATACTTCAGTATGTTGTCAAGTCAAAGACCAAACTCGTTGACCGTTTTTTTCGAAGCATGCGACAGCAGCAAATGCAGCAGATCGGCACAGGCATGATTGAGCGTAAGTTTCTGTCTTGCAGCGATCTGCGACGCATTGGCAGCTCGTGTGAGCGGTTGACAAGAAAAAGATGAGCGGCTCCGAGTAACTCGTCAGACGAAGCATCACATGCAGTGGATTTGGTAAGGCTCGTTAGTCCTCAGGGCGATAGGACAACAGAAGGTTTAAGACGATCGCATCTGGCAGAGCTCGTTTATTTGCTAACTCGCCATGCTCTCTATCATTCATGACAAATTGCGAGTGTCATGTAGTCCATGACGCTCAGGTCACATGCTCGGCGAAGACGCCGGAGAAGAAGAACAGGCTCGGCAAAGCAGCAATGGAGTCTCTTATCACGATCCTGCCAGGATGAAACATTCCTCGAAGGAGTCCCACTTCTGAGCCCTTTGTATCAGGCCGCAGATTTTGCGGCCATCGTCGTGCGGGTTTTTGTTCCTTGCGTGCATGCTTCCTTCAGGTGTCGGAAAAGGAACATCAAAAAGAGGCGCAGTGTCGTGAGCGAAGTGAGTTATGTCAGAAGGGTTCGCATACGCACAAGCTATGCCGCACGAGGATTCTGCATGTCGACGTCACATGTCGAAGAGATGCCAGTACCTGTTAACGGTCCAAACTTGTGATCAGTTGCGAGGGGGCCAACCTTTGGCAAGATCGCAATGTAACCAGCGAGGACGAGGTTTTGAGCTTAGAAAAATGTGTCACGTCAGAAGTCTCAGAAATCACTCACGTTTTAATTTGTGTAAGCTCTGGCGCAGGAGGACTCCACACATCGACATCGGATTCGAAAAAGATGCCAGGATGCGCTAGCGACTTGAATTCGTTTACAGGCGTCACTCGGACATTCGGGGCTTTGCCTTTTGGGCCTTGTGCATGAGGCCGCAGGCTCTACCTTGAGTATGCGGGAACGAGATTCAGGGTGGACGCTGGCGTCACGAACCTGTCACCCGAGTTTAAGATCTACAACTGTGATTATTTTGTAGCGTAAACTCCATATATGTTTTCTTTATCGCAGCACTATACTCTTGTAAGGGCACTTTACCACTAAAATGTGCGTCTGTCTAATGTACTTGACAGAGACATCAGAAGTTTGTCGGGCCATCCCTCCGTAACCCGTGTAGGGACACGATAATGTCGTAACCCAACGTCCATCTTCAGGTCTCGGAAGAAGAACAGCAAGCAGAGGCGCAATGTCGGAACGGATGTATCACGTGAGCAGTCAACTCTATCGTAGAAGCTCTGCTGCATGAGGACTCTACAGATCGACGTCGAACTCCGAAAAGATGCCAGGATATGCTAGCTATCTGAACCCTTCAGTTCACATGGAGTAGTCGAACATTCGGCAGGCAAACAACGCAGTTATCGAAGACGAAGTTTGGAGCTCAGAACATTTCTAGCATGTCAAACTCATTCGTCTTTGGATTTGCGGAAACTCTGCCGCATGAGGATTCTGCACATCGACATCAAATTTCAAACAGATGCGAGGATGCGCTAGCCACCTGAAATCGTGATCAATTTACAAGCGTCAGTCGGACATTTGACAGGATCGCAACGTAGCCAGTGAGGACGGAGTCTGCAGCAACAGCAGCAACTGTGAGGGCGATCAACCTGTAGCGTGCGAGGACTCGACGCATCGCAGCCGCAGCTTTATTCCGAAGAAACACAAGGCTGGACCGAATTGAGGAAGTGACAGTAATCGTGCCTTGCGAAATCACAGCGCAGAAGCGAGTGCTTAGGTGACCGGAGAGTCGCGATATTGCACGGGTCTCGATGAGCAAACCTGCATTTTCGGAGCCAAAGGATCTGCGGCACGACCTAATGGGACGTTGCAATGCCTATTCTGCGATCCGGTCAGATTTGCAACTGCCGTGTTCGAACGAGACCCTCGTGTACTACAACGCTTCAGGTCGTTGACAGCAGAGGCGCAAAAATTGGCTTTGCAAAGAACGGGGACGGACAAAGATCGACACTGGCTACAATCGAGGCAGGCCATTGCAGTAGATCTTGCAGGACATGACGGTCCGCTCGAAGAAGAACTACAGTCTTTGTACAGAAGAGGGGCGGAACTCTGGAAGAACGTATTAGAATGCAGGCAGGTTGTAGGCGGTCATGCCATTGCAGCAAATGTCTATCGCCAACGGGTTTTGGAGGATCGTGCCAAAAGCCTGAACATGTTCCATGTTCCACATGAAAGGCTGGCACGGAACGCGCCCGTCAGCAACGAAGATCCGTTGCCGAAGGCCAAAAGCTCGCATTTGGCGGCGAAGCTGCAGCTGTGGTGCGAATACAATTCCTGGCAAATTTGCTCTGACTGCCATTGCGTGCAGCCACGGGAACTGACCCCAAAAGGGCTGGATGAACTACTGAGCCCATGGTGTCCCTCGAAAAACTGCATCTTTTGTCGGGCTTTGTCATCTCAGCCAGCCATACACCCCGAGAGCACGCCGGCCGCTCTGTCCAATTTGCCCGCCGAAGTGCGCGTGGCTCTGCGCCCTTTGGCTATCGATCTCGGGCCAGAAGAGCGGGCGCGGGACAGCTTCGGTCGCGGCAGCGGCTATAGACGCCACGCCGCGATGGTGACCTTTGCCTGGCAGGAACAATCGGTGGAAGATCGTCTCGACCAACTTAGCCCCGAGCACAAAGCAGTGGCACGGGAGGCCTTGAGATGGCTTTTGCAGAACAGCGGTCCGTCGACAACACAGACTGCGTATGGGACATTCTATCGGGAGCATCGAAAGTTCCTCGAGATGAAGGCTTCCGAGGGCGACACCTCCAGCAGGACGCATCGTCGTTGGTTGCGTTTTCTCGAAAGAGAAGGAGTGGAGTGTGCCATTTGGCCGGACCTGTTTTGGCAGCGACAGCTATGTCTGACCTG